TAAAAATATTTTATTTATTTATTTGGTACAAGATCTTGCTAAGCAGCTCAGACTCATAGCGATCCTCCTGCCTCAAACTTCCCAGCTCTGGGATTACTGGTATGTACCACCACGCCTGGTTTCCATGGCCCGCGTGACATGCAGTACCAGGGATCAAATGCAGGTCCTTGAGCTTTCCAGCCAGGCACTTAAACTGCTGAGCTAGTTCTCTAGCCCTATTGCTCATTTAAAAAAAAGCGTGGGCTACATGAGGTCAAGATTTTATTTTATACTGAGTTGGTTGAATTCCTTACATGTTCTAGGTATTTAATCTGTCATCAAATGTATAATTTGTGAACATTTCTCCCATCCTGTAGGTTGTTTCTTCACTGTGTTTTTAAAAAAGCCAACAGAGGCTTTTTAGCTTAATATAATTGCATTTATCTAATTTTGCCTTTTGTTTCCCATGATTTTGAGGTCTTATCCAAAAAAATAATTGTCCATTCCAACATCCTGAAACATTTTTCTGTGTTGGGGGAATTTTTAAAACAGAGTGATTTAGCAAGAGTGATTTGTAACCAGAAAATTATCGGTTTTCTAAGTACAAAGTTTATATATTGACTTTGCTTTTCCTTTTTCCTTTTTTTTGGTGGAATTTGGGATTGACCCTTGGACTACTATATTGCTGAGCTACATCTTCAGCCTCAGCCTCCTGAGTAATCGGACTTACAGATGTGTGTTACCTTGCCTAGGTCTTTTTTTTTAAAAAAAAATATATATATATATATATATATATATTGCATACTTATTTATTTTCTCTTTTTTTGTGGTACCACAGATTGAACTTGGGACATTATGCTTGCCACAAAGGTGCTTATACTGCTGAGCTATCTCCCCAGTGCTGAATGCTTATTTTAGGAAATAAATGACTTTTAAAACAATGACTCTACTTTTAATATGTTCTCTTTTCTTTGCTATTCCATTAACCCATGCTGCACCTGGGCTGGGACCAGCAGGTCCCGCTGGTGCAGGGTAGCCGAAAGCTCTCCCACACACTCATTGGACGTGGGCTAGGACTGGATCTCCTTGCCTAGCTCTTGATTCTTCTTGAATTAGGACATATCTATGTTTGAACAAGACTAATTTGACAGACTTTAAAGCTACCCATTCTTGTACCTCTCTCTTTTTTATTCAGAAGAGACTGAGACCCCCAAATGTTAAATGGCTCCATGCCTAGGTCTCTTATCTCCTGTTCTAGCAGAGTAGCGTGTGTGTGTGTGTGTGTGTGTGTGTGTGTGTGTGTGT